GGAAGAGTTTAGAGCAAAAGCATATGAGAATGCTCGGATATACAAGGAGAAAACCAAGAAGTGGCATGACCAAAAACTGATGCCACAACATTTTCATGTGGGGCAACAAGTCTTGCTTTACAACTCCAGACTTAAACTCTTTCCTGGGAAGCTAAAATCTCGATGGTCAGGGCCATTTGAGGTGCATTATGTCTATCCCCATGTAGTTGTTGACATCAAGAGAATAGACAATGGGAAGATCTTCAAGGTCAATGGCCAGCGTCTGAAAGCCTACAATGGAATTCCACCACCGCACAACAAGGACGTGTTACGGCTGCACGATACTCAAGCGTGCCCAGAGGAGAACCAAAATTCGATGCCTCGGCATGGAATTTGTGTTTGTGCATAAATAAAATTTAACATTCAAGTTTTTTTCTTTAGTTTTATTTTATTTTATTTTGTAATTAATTTTTGATCTGATTTGTAGGGACCACATTGCTGCAAACCGTACAAGGAGCGGTTACCAAAGGGAGGAAAGGACAAAGCATTAATTGGAGAGATATTCTTTTGATTTGTTTCTTTTTATTTAATTTAATTTCTAACATTTACTTTTCTCTTTCCACAGTTTTTGTCCCATCATCATCATTACTTTTTGGCAGTTTTTCCTTCCCCATACATGCACAAGCCCCACCCACTAATTTCTCTCTTAACCGTCTTATCACCCCCTTTTCCTCCCAAATTTTCAACTTTTTTCTTTTCTCTTTCTTTATTCATTTTTTTCTCTCTTTCATGTTAACTTTTACTTTTTCTCTCTCTATTACTCATCTTCTTCCCTTATTCTCTCCATAGCCGAAATATATCCAAGTTTTTAAATCTTTCAAAAGCTTCTTCCTTTTTCATTTTTCTTACATCAAAAACATTGAAAATGGTGCGCTCAAGACAGGCTCCAACCGACACGACCTCTTGGCAACAGTTTGAGAACGATGAGGCTAAGGCTCAGTTCCAAAACTTCAAGAACCGAAAACTCTTTTTTGAGTTAGGATTTATTTTTACCGAGGAAATCGATGGTGGTTTTGGACCCGAAGTTATGGACATCGTGATGCCACTCAAGTGGCAGAAGTTTGCCCATCATCCTGGTTCGGTGAACGCCTCATTAGTTAAGGAGTTCTATGCAAATATTTCCAAGCCCAATCAACACTCCATCTTCATTCGAGGTAAGCAAATCCGTTTTACATCCACTGCTATTAATCGTTATTTTCATTTGCAGGATGTTGTGGATAACCATGTCACGTTCGAAGAGGAAGCAGATAGCAACACATACGATGGGGTCTTGGAGGACCTTTGTTTCGAAAACACTGAGTGGTATGGTCGCCAGACGAGCCGATACTCGGTCAACCGGGAATGTCTTCAGTCGCGTGCCAAATTATGGAATCACTTCCTCAAGCATAAACTCATGCCCACCTCCCACAACACTACGGTATCACTTTCACGCTTATTGCTTTTACATTCTATAATGGTATCCCGTCCGATCGATGTGGGTCGTATCATTGTTCAGCAAGTTCACGACTGTTTGGGTAAAAAGGCAAGTGCTTTGGTGTTTCCTAATTTAATTACCGCTTTATGTCGTAAGAAAAAGGTTGAGGAAAATGCTTTTGATGAAATTTTACCTGGATTATCGGGCATCACTAGGGCTAGACTTCCACTGTTGTTGGGAATTGAAAATCCCAATTCTAACGACCCTGTTCATGAGCAATCTGTAGGTGCTACAGAATCGAATGTCGAGGCCAGGTTACTTGCTCTCGAGGAAGCTGTGACGCAGACTCAAGCTCAAATGCATGCTTTACACGGTGACATCCGTAACTTTTTTGGATATATGAAGCATAGAGATGCTGTGGTGGAATCATTCTTTCAAGAAATCATTCCCCACGGACAACGGAATTTTCCTGGATTCCCAGATGAAATTCTGCCGGCATTCAATGCTGAGGCATCTCCAGAGCCTGAGCATGATGCACCTGATCCTCCTGCTGATGACCCTACTCCTGATACACACCGTTCCGAAACTCCTGAATATCCATCCACTGTCCCTGTCGAAGAAATACCCAGCCCCGTCCCAGCACCCAATCCTTCTCATGCACAACGTAGTGGTCGCCGCACCAAGACCAGGGCTGGACGCATTGTGAACTATTACTCCACTTCTTCCGAGTCCAGCCTAGCACCTATCCGAAAGCGCACCCGACGAGGAGCTGCTAGCACCTCCAAAGCACCACTACCACGTAAACATTGAGGTACCTCTCTTGCATCCATTTTCATTTAGTTGCATTTCATTGCATAACATATAGTTTATAGTTAGTTTAGTTCTCTTTAAAGCATTGAGGACAATGCTTCCCTTAAGTTTGGGGGAGGTATTGTTCTTGGTAGGTCATATGCATGATAGCATTAGCATAGTATTATGCCATGGCATCAGTAAATGGTAGGACAGTTAGATGAAATGTTTTGAGGATACCCGATGATGATAATTTTGTTAGGCTAGAATCTGAATGTAAATGACTATTGAGAATGATAGAACTCACTCTAGGGCTTGATGCTTTATGAAAAATATTTACACGATTTGTATGTTTTCTATACTTAGAAAATTTAGGAAATTTTTATGAAGGAACTTTAGTTAGTCTTGGCATTGAAATATAGTATGGTGTTTAAAAGAAAAATCAAAAACAAACTCCCTTAGAAATGAAACTGTGAATAAATGCTTAAGCATAGCTGTAGAGGGACACTCCTCTTTGACGTGGCATTTCCTAGAACTTTCTTTAATAAATAAAAGCCTTGTGCATATGAGTGAATGAAAGAAGTCACGGGATGACTCTACTTAACTAGCTCGGGGATGGAAGGTATGCTCCCTTTCATCTAGAGTGTGGGAGAGTAGGTGTGATGAGTTGATTCCCTTCGTAACAGTTTAAAAAAATCAAAGAAAAGGGAGTAAAAATGTGCTTAATGATAAGTAAATGCCTTGAAAAAAACTAAGAGACTTGATTAGAAATTGTCTAAATTCGCTAAGTATAGATTGGATACAATCACGCACACACACTACCACAAAGGATTTTGACCTAGGGAAAAGTACTTGAATTCTTGATAAGTCTAGCATGTTGAAGCCTATCGTTCTGAGGGTTGAAATTCAATTTTGTCCTACTGTCTTACTATCGAACTTTGCCATGACATTATTCTTATGTAACTGCTATCCATTGCTTGAAAACAAGCAATAGCTTAAGTTTGGGGGTGTGTTAACTTCCTAAAAAGGCTACTTTTAAAGCCTTTTTCACTTAAGTTATTGTTTGTTTAAAAGCTCATTTTAGTCATTTAAGGATCATGTAGTTGCATATAGTTGCATTTGTGGTGGTTGTGCTATTTTATTTCTTAATGGTGCTGTTTGAGGGAAAGGTGCAGTTTGTCTATGGTGTGCAGGGAATAGCAAGAAAAAGGATTCTTTGGGAAGTAATGCCACGACATCACACGTTGCTAAAGCAGATTGAAATGCCTTGGCATTTCCAGCGCAGAAAAAGACAAAAAGATATTTCTACATCAGGACAGCTGGCACTGGACAGCTGTCTCTGCACGTGAAGGACTGCTGTAACCGCCTGCCAGAGCTGCCAATGGACCACTGCCACTTGGAGGATAAGGTTCATGCACAACATGTGATTCTAGGGGTATGAGGGGTATTTTGCACCCAATAAACTCATCATTACCCCTAGATATTTTTTATTATATATGACACCTCATGGGAGAGAGAGATATACAGACAGAGAGCACACGCATAGAGCAGAAAAATCACATTTTTATTTTCTCTTTTCCTTTCTTCTTCCTTGGGATATTCCTCCATTGATAAAGCTCCAAGGAGTGGCAAGCTAGGCGCCGAAAGGAGCTAGCGAGCTATGTGGTTCGTGGTGGCCGAGAGGAGACCTCCAGTGGCACGTCGAAGGCTTCTTCTCGCTTCCCTTTTTGCTGCTATTTTTATATTATTTTTTTGGGTTGTTGGAACGAATATTTTCATGACTTTGTGTTTGGATATTTCGAACCCCACCATGAACTAACTTATTTGGTGGTGGTTGATTTAATGGTTGTTTAAACTTTATTTTTAATGGTATATTTAAGTTTATTTTTGGTTCTTTATTTGCTTTGCTTATGAATGCTTCACCATCTAGGCTTGTAAGAGGCATGGAAATGTCCATCTCTTAGATGAAGGTTAGGTATTCGGAAGAATCCTAAACTAAAAATACTTGTAAGTATTCGGAAGAAACGCAAGAGACTAGGTTAGGATTTCAACGACTAAAAAGGGTGTCTTTATCAATAGGGGCTTTGAACCGGCCTAGGAATATTATAAATTAATCCCTTAGATCTCGGAAGAGACTAGGTTAGGATTTCAACGACTAAAAAGGGTGTCTTTATCAATAGGGTAGGCTGTCCAACATCGTTGAGTGAGAGCAGATGCATTGGCATCCTATTCTGTTAGGTTCTTTTGAACACCTTAGGAAAGCCCTGTCGAGTAAGTAAAGACAAGATAGCTTAAATATACTTGAGAAATAAGTTTAGCAACCTTAGACCAATCCTTACCATTCATTTCATTGGAAGCTTGTCACGTGAGGATTATTTTCTTCTTATTTTATTTATTTATCTTTTTATTTACTGTTTTTACCATTTTTCATTGCCTTGACATTTCACCATACTCAATATTAAACATCCATCATTGCCACTGCATTTCCATTTGCTACACAATCTCACCATCAATCCGCATCCACCAGCATACACATATCCATTGCCGTGACATTTGTATATATCAAGACTAACTATACTTAGATAATTTAGTGCGTTGCTTTGGTTAGACTTTCGTAATTTCACCCAATCCCTGTAGAGACGATACTCACTCATCATTATATTGCTTGAGTGATTGTGTATATTTGCACATTATTTGCGTATATTTTATAGTACTCACAACACGCGAACATTCTTTCTTCAACCTAAACCCAGATTCCTCATCTAGCCAAGTCGTCGGTGTATCGGCCCCGACGCTCACTCCAATGTTCAACATTTGTACCACAAGTTTCTCGTTCATAAACTGGTCTGCAAAGAGCGGCAACGTTAACAACGGGATGCCAGCCGAAATGCCTTCGATCGTTGAATTCCAACCACAATGGGTCAGAAACACCCTACTGCTGGGTGTGACAAAATGAGTACTTGTGGTGCCCATCCCATTATAATAAGCCCTCTTCCTTTGGTTAATCCATCCTCTTTAATCCATTTTATCACTTTATTCGACGCTTCATTATTTCCTTTAAGGACCCAAATTAATGGCTTTCTCGACACCTCTAATCCCAAACCCAACTCTTTAAGTTCCGGGTACTTGAGCGTGTTCGAGCTTCCAAGGCAAGCATAAATCACAGACTTGGTTTCTTGAGAATCAAGCCACCTCAAACACTGTTGCTCATCGATTGAAGCTTTGTTACCTCTCTCGGCGTTGTGTAACTCGTTTTTGTGGATCAGAGAAACTGGGCCGATGCACCAAGTTTTCATTATCTTCGCATACTCTTCGATACACGTCGGCTTGAGCTCTTCGAAACTATTTACGACAACCCAGCACGATGCATTGTATGATTCATCCATCGGAGCGAAATATGCTTCCACGATTCGACGAGGTTGAGCGGTAACTGAGGTTTAGTCAATTCGACCTTTTCGGTCAAGCTTGGAACCGTGAAGCATTCATGATCTGATGTTATGTTGTCAAGAATCTTGGAGGACTCTATATTGTGAATACAGAGAAAACAGAAGAAACAAATTCCATGGAAAGATATCCTTGGAATCTGAAACTTGGTAGCAACTTTGAGGGTATAGTATAGACATATGTCCGAAATGATGCAATTGGGGCGTGGTGTTAGCTTCTCAAACACTTCCTCCACTACTTGGTCCACACTGTTTGCCGCATTCGTGAATTTGGACATGTCCTCCATTGTATGTATCATGTCTACATGCTCAACCCCGTCTGCCAGTCCGAATTCTTTGTCGGGGAATCAGAGCTGCACTAAACGGATCTGATGGCCTAATTACGGCTCGATCGATTATTTTTTGGACTCTGCCTGTATTATGAGGCGTTGTAATTACAGTGACGATCACGTTATGCTGGGCTAAAAATCGAGCGATATCGACCATGGGGATCAAGTGGCCTTGGGCCATGAAAGGGAACAACACAAAGTGAGTCTGCTCGGATGGGGAAGCCATAGTAGAAACAAGGAAGAGTGGAAGTGAATTGTAAGGCGTGGGTGCAAAAAGGTTTTATAGATGGGCAAGTGTGGAGGTCGTTTCAAAATGCTGACGCAAGACCATACATAAGCTTACATTAGTATATTCATTAGTTCTGATGTACGACACGACAGTCTTAATATACGGTTAAGAAAATATTTTATCGGAAATGTTAATATTTTTTAACATGTCCGGTAAAACGCTGCCTAAAACATTATTTTTTTAGTGAAAATATTAACTTTGCTACCTAATTTTCGGTAGAAAAAAATAACATTTTAGATAGCACCTAATATTAATATTTTCGATAGAAAAAATAATTAATTTTGCTGCCTAATTTCTATTAGAAAAAATAACATTTTAGGTAGCGCCCAATATTAACATTTTCGATAGAAAAAATAATGTTTTAGGTAGCGCTTTACCGGAAATGTTAAACATTTTAGGTAGCGCCCAATATTAACATTTCCAGTAAAAAATAATATTTTAAGTAGCATTTTTTCGAAAATATTAAAAAAATATTAATATTTCCGATAGCGTCTTTTCTTAGTCGTATATTAAGACTGATGTACCTTAAACATCCCAAATCCAACACCATACATCAGCCACAATATTTGAGCAACGACTCCAATATAATGCTTTTAATTATTGATAGTACTTGGAGTCCAAGTCTTGAAATTAGCTGACCCTATTCCCATATGTAATAGGATAAGGGGAGGATATGTAATGGGATAAGGGGAGGTAAGATAGTAGACTGCCTCCAACACTAGGTTGAGAGCAGCTTCCGTGGGAGATCTCTGACAGTCAGAATTATGAATTGCCCACCGTGGGACTCGATCCCACGACCACAAGGTTAAGAGCCTTGCACTCTACCAACTGAGCTAGACGAGCAATTACGGAGTCCAAGTCTTGAAACCTATCTACAATTTTATATCAGATAAACTACGTGTTTAGTATCTAAATTATTACTTTTATTTCGTTTTAATACTTAAACACTTTTAAATCATATATAATGTTAAGTTTATGTTTATGTTGGTAACCTGTCGTTAAAAACTTAACGGAATTGTTGTACATTGTATATTTTATGGGTCAATTACATCATTTGTCACTTAATTGTCTTCTCACTTCTATTTTTGTCATTTAAGTTTATATTTTTTTAAATTAATCACTAAACTTTCAAATTACAACTATTTTAATCACTCTAACTTATTTTATTAATATTTTCTTTGACATGACATCTTTTAATTATTATTTTATTAATATATATATAACAACTAATATATGATTAAACTAAAAAAAGGACGGATTGGAGAGGTCGGTAAGAGAGAGACTGTGATGGTAGGGACTAGACCTGGTAAATTGACCCGAACTCAATTACTAGAACCAATTTACCGGATTCAATATTCGGTATAGACCCGATCATGATGACCAACCTTGATCCAAAACCTGAACCATGCTTGACCCATATCCAATTTGACCCAAATCGAAAACATCTTGAATCAAAATTAATTTGAATCAGTAACAACCTAAATCGAAAGCAACCCAAACCGAATTTAACCCGATATGAAAGTAACTCAAACTAAAATTAACCTGAACCGAAAATAAACTAAATCAAAAGCAACAAAAATCGAAAGCAATCCAAATTTAATTTACTAAAATTTTATCTGAACCCAACATTGACCCGATCTTAACCCGATAAATGAGTAAAAGTGATTGAATGATTTATTGTTATGATATATATATATTAACAATATGATGAATAATAAAATGATACACGTTTTTTTTATTATACTACTAGTTAACCACCACCTTGGTAATAGTTTAATGACCACGAGTACTACATTTAATAATAGTTTAATGGTTTAATATCATTTTCACTCGTTTAAAAGATTATATCCATACTTGATATGATAATATCTAAAAAATTAAAAACTATTTGATATGAAGAATTATAAAGTAAAGTTACTGCCTAAAATTTTATTTTATATGATTAACTTTTTGGGTAAAATACACAAATGGTCGCTCAACTCTAGGGTACTTCTCTATTAAGTTCATAGACTATTAAAAGTTATAAAATGGTCTTCTAACTATAGAATGTTGCTTTGTTAAGTCCCTTAACTATTAAAAAATATAAAACGATCACTTGACTATTAATTATGTTCCAAATTCATCTTTTTCATTAAAGATTTTATGGTTGTCTAAGATGAACGTTAATATAATGACTAACATATAATAGTCATTTGAGATCAAACTTTATCATGTTACAATCGGCAAGTTAACATTCAAGTTAGAATATTGTCAAATTTTTAACGAAAAAGGATGAGTTTGGAACATAATAAATAGTCATGTGCCATTTTGTAACTTTTAATAGTCAAGGGACATGATAAATCAACACTCTATAATCGAATGACTATTTTGTAACTTTTAATTGTTAAGAGAATAAATAAAATAGTATCTTATAGTCGGGGGACCATTAATGTACTTTATCCTAACTTTTTTGACAATATCTTATATTATGGACTTTAATTGTCATTACTTAAATTAGGGGTGTTAAAAAAATATTCAATATGGCTGACCTGACCTTTCAACCTGGTTAAAATATACTTGATATTTATTTTGAAAATATCGGGTATTCATTTTGAAAATACCCAATTTTTTGGGTTAGATACCCGACCCACTAAATTTTTCGGGTATCCGATTTGGATCCGGGTCACAAAATCTTGCTTAATAGGGTACCCTCCGATCTGGTAGTCGATTTATTATATATATATATATTATTTTTATTTTTTATTAAATTTTTATTTCTCCATAACATTCAAAATTCCTAATTTCTTAAATTTTACAACCACATCATTCTAAATTTTTATTTTCTTAAATTATTTCACATTAACATTCTAAATTATTTTTTAAAATATTTATTTTAACTTTGAAACATTTATAATTTAATTATATATTTTTTTTAATAAATTTCTTTCAATTATTTAATTTAAATTTTTAAACTTTATGTGAATTATATATTATAGACGTTTATATTTTATATTTTAGAATTTTTCTATCTATCTATCTATCTATCTATCTATCTATCTATATATATATATATCTAAAATAATATAATTTAAAGAAAAAAATAAAAAAACTTATGAACTAGATATCCATGACCCGAAAATATGAGTACCCAAGTTTTACGGGTACTCGAATGTAATGGGTCGGGACACGATATGACATTTTGGTATCTGAAAATTTTAGGTATCCGGTATTTCGAGTACCTAAAAAATGCGAGTACCCGATTTTAAACAACCCTAACTTAAAATGATATATTATAATTAACTTTAAAAGAAATAAATTTCACTTTTTTGCAAGCACAAATTAACATGAAACACAAATCTCAAATATATAAAAGAAATTCTATGAAAAAAATTATACTTTAATTTAAATGATGAAATCTATTTTGATTTTGAATAAAAATATATTAATATATAAAAAAGTTTAGTTAAATTCAAACGATGAAACTTATTTTGAATAATAAAATAATTTTAATAAAATTGAAAACTTTAAAAAAACATTAGATTTATAAGAAAATATTATAAATTTTACTTATGTATTATTTTTTAAATTTAATAAAAAAATTAAATTTATAATTAAACATTAATTTTTTTAGGGTCCATTTAACTCTCATGGTCAAAACATAGCACAATATACCATATGCTTACAAATGAACCAAATCTCTAGTACTGCATACGAATGTGATGCAAAAATCAAAGGGTGTTTCCAATGACAGTAAAAGGGCTTAGGTAAGGGTGTGGTAAAAAGAAAAAAAAAATGAAAGTTTCACAATCAAGACATAATACTAACTTCTTAAAATTTATTCTCACATCTCATTCAAGCACCAAAGAGTTTGGAGAATCAACATTTAATTGCTTTTGCAAACATATCTCTAAAAAAAGGATGACAAACAAGAAAAAGAGTTGGGTAAAAATATGGTAAAATAAAGAAAAGGGGAAATAAGCTCGAATTGGCTAACTAGGGAAAAAACGTATAGATAGGATTTTTAAAAGTTTGAGAAATGGGTTAAACCTAATTGTTCTCATCATCTTAAAGCATCAATCCAAAATTATAGTCTCAAAATGCATTCACAAACAAGTTCTAGAACAAACACACTATGTTCGACACACTCACCAAAAAGTAAAATGAGCAAAATATAATAAATTGTTATTAGGCTCAAAATCTCATAAATGTTTGTAATTTTCATCAAGTATAGTTCACTTGTCAACTAATAAACTCATGAAAAACCTTTAAACATTTTTACGAAAACACTAATCATGCTCGTCTCTTTCATGCATTACAATCCAAACCAAGATGCATCTAAAACTTATAAGGTATTCTAAAATGCTAAGAATGATTAAAGAATGCAAAAGAAAATTCAACATATATAGTTGGAGTACACCAAATTTCAAGCACAAGAAAAACAATTTTAAAAAATAGAGCAAAAAATTATGGAAAAAAAATCATAATCTTAAGTGAAAACAAACTTCACAAAATGAAATCATGTATGAAATGTCTCCCCACACCTAAATACTACATTGTCCTCATTGTATAACAAAATAAATTTCTCACAAAAGAAATTGAAGATAAAAGGGGAAAGAAAAAAAGGAACTCTCCTGATGTGTGAGCAAGTCGTATTGTGTTGGTTCAAGGTGATGGTGGATAAGGGAGTGCGATTCCACAACATTGCATCAGTCTCCAATGGTGGTAATATTGTTTTCCTTTTCTTGTGTTTTCCATGACGGAAATTAAAATTGGGACAAACTCAGTGTGCTATCCTCATTAGAACGTGCCCATGTCTTATTTCAATAAAGCATAATCACGCCTTGTTCTAAATAAGTATCTACCAAAAAAATTAAACTCAAAAAAGTAAATATAAAATAAAATAAACCAAAAGAAAAGAAAAGAAAAAAAAATAAAGTGGTAAGAATTGAGTTGCCTCCCAATAGAGCAATTGTTTAACATCGTTATGCTCAACTTGGCTTTGGTGAGTTGTCCAATCATTGATATAAGTTGGTAGCTCCATATGGGGATCAATGAGTTATGTTACAATTTCACCTTCATGGAATATTTTCAATCTATGACCATTCATTTTGAGGGTTTTGTCTAAGTCCAAGCTTTTAATTTTCACTCATCCTTGAGGAAATACATTAGTAACTATAAACAGTCTCTTCATCCCATTCCTTGTCGTAATTGATCTGGAAGGTAGATAATAAAGTCAATCTTTTTCTTGATCCTTTGATAGGGAAGCGGTGGCGGGTTTATGAACGTTGCTCTTGTTGAAGAATCAAACCTAGAAAAGATCTAGACTCGATGAAGAACAATAAGGGATGAATCGGGAAGGTGGCGGCAATAGATAGGGTTCTTTAGGGTTTCTTTTTTATGCTGGAAACAAGATAAAAATAAGATTAAAACAAGATTAAAAAAAAAGATAAATGGATTGCAAATAAAATAAGATAACCAAGAAATCAAAAGATCTCCCTTATGAAGGTGAACGATAAAGATGATTGATGACGTGGATGGATATGTGGAAAATCGATAGATAATGTCCTATCGAGCCCTCCTAGTCGCAATGAAAAGTCAAACACGATAATATGGCTCTAACCAACCCTCCTAGTCGCGATGAAAAGGCAAATTGGAGTGTGAAGATTAATCTCCCTCACAAGAACTTGAAAGAACTCAAGGAGAAGAAGCTTTGAAGGCACAAGGCAATCAGCACTTGCAAAAACGAACTCTCGTTGTATTATTAATCAAAGAAATCTTAATTACAAAGTTGAATGAAGCCTCCTTTATATAGGGGCTGAATTCTAAAGGTCCTAAATAACTAAAGAATAAAATAATAATAAACTAAACATGTTTTAACTCTAATTCCTAATAAAATAATAATAACTAAAAATATTGTTTTAACCCAACCTTAATTCCTAATAAAATAATAAATCTGATCCTAAAAGATAATTAATCATCCTATATTAAATTATATTACAAATAATCAATATAAATATTGAAAATTCGTAATATTTACAAAATAACGTATTAATCCCGTATAGGATTTCCTACATGCACCATATTCAGTAAAATGGTCATATCTTGAGTTCCCGATATCGGATTGATGCGATTCAAGAACCGTTGAAAAGATAAGAGACAGAAGGTGGTATGTCCAGAAGACATGTTGACCAAATAAGATCAGGATCCCATTCAAAAAGTTGTCTCAAGTCTGCTATTGTTCTGGTCTTCTTTTCCAATGCTTGGACGAGTGGATCATTTGGAAGAGTTATTATTTCTTCCTTTGATGTGAGCCTTGTGATGCATGTATCATCCTCCCTTTCTTCAAAAAGATTCGTCCTCGAATCTGAAACATTAAAGGGAGCAACATTAGAATCATTTAATGATTCATTCACATTATTCTTACCGAATAGATATGCTTTGAATCTTCGAGACTTTGTTCTTCTAATAGGTTCGAGTAGAAACATTAGTCCAAAGAAGCATGTATTCTAGACTCTGGTGCATGTATCATTCCCCACTCCTCAAAAGGATTCGTCCTCGAATCTGAAAATCCAAAAGAAAGAGAATTAGATGTGTTGAACGAAAAACTTGTGAAACATTTATCAGGATCAATGTGATATGTCTTTATGCGTTTTAGTCGAGGTTTCTTCTTTATAGGAACTGATTTCTTGTATTCTTGAAATCCTATTTTGCATACAAGTCTTGTAATATGATGTTTTGGTTGAAATTCAACATGGCGTCGACCTCTGTTGGCTTTCTGTATGATTGCTTCAGATAATTTCTCCATGGTTTTATTCTTGTGTGGCGAGAATGAGTGTTTAAAAACCATGTCAACTGGTTTGTTAAAGTAATCCCTTAAGTCTCCTAAGTGTGGTTCATGAATTAAGAATTCTCGGGAGGAGATTTGTGGACTGTAAAACCTGTTTAGTTGGCAAGGAAACTCATATACAAGATAAAGCTCATTAGAAGCACTTTTAAAAGTATGGGTAAAATTATCAGAAATATCCGAGTTATTGTGATATACATCTTTGATATGTTCAATTCTCGGAATAGTAGTATGCGTTTGATAGGTAAGAGTATACCTTCGTGGTAGTGCATCGTCTATTGTGTTTTGCTTACCTCGGTCTTTGGACTCCCGTAAATCGTGACTCTTAACTGATATGGCATAGTGATTAGGGCTTTCAGGTGGTAACCCGTCAGGAGGGTCACCTAGCACTATTCGACAACTCTTGGCGATGGAAGATGGTGTGGTCCAGTCTCGTGTTGCTTTTACGTTCTCATCATTTACATGGATTCTCTGTGCATGAACTATAAAGCATGTGGAGTTGTTCAAGTCATGTTTCGTCATTAAGATGGCGTCACGACTAAGGCTTTCCTGGATGTAGCCTTTTTGTAACAAATCTAACTCTTTGGTTTCTTCGAGATTGTATGTTTGACGAGGTATGATGCAACCTTGAATTAGCTTGGTTTGGTGTTGTTTTCCTCTTTTCGGTGGTAATTCGTTAGGTGGATCACATAACACTTCTCGAAAATCCTGTAAGAAAGATGAAAACACACTAGGCAAATCCTTGTTAATGTTAGAAATCGAAACAATTGATTCCCTAAAGTGAACAAGGATGGAAGGTTGTTTGTAAAGAAGGTTCTCTCTCAATTATTTTGTGCTCACACATAGATTTTGAGTCACTCTTTTCTTCTCACAATTAGGTTCACTCACCTCCCATGGGTCATTATTCTTTTGGTTTTTGAAACTAGTGACCTCTTTTTCTTTTGCCTCTTTCTCAGCTTTTTCTTTTTTTACTTTCTCTACCTCCTCACAAATTATCATTTGATATTTAGGGGTTGGAAGTGTGTCATTCTTTGCTGGTCGTTCTTTCTCCTTGTCAGGTTTGTCATCTCTTGGCTTTTTCAGAGAAGATGGAGTAGAAGATGAGGAAGGATTTGAAGGATTACCCTGGTAAGAGGATGAAATACCTTGGTAATATTCTCTGAATCGGAATCTCCTTTGTATTTGTGTTTCGATTGCCATTGCTTTCTTTAGTGTATCTTTGAGGTTTTCGTACTCATGGAGATCAAGAAGATCAGTGATGTTTGAGTTTAAGCCGACGACGAAGCTTGACACGGTTACCTCTTCTTTTTCGGTTATGTTAGCCCTATTGAGTAAGGAGTGCATCTCCTTGTAGTAGTCTTCAACTGAACTTCTACCTTGTCGAAGTTGGTGTAGTCATAGTTTAACTTCTCGTGTATAATGTGTCGGTAGGAATCGCTTCCTCATGGTTTGTTTGAGGTCGGTCCAAGAAGTGATTGTTGGAATTTGGAAGTTCTGGATCTTTTTCCTTGTTTGCTTCCACCAAGTTCGAGCATATCCTTCGAATTGCATGGTGATGAGGTGAACTTGTTTAGCTTGGGGAAAATCATGGTATGCGAACATGAGATCGACTTTTCCTTCCCAATCGATGTACCTGTCTGGATCGTTGTCTCCTTTGAAAGACGGGATCATGAACTTTGGTTTTGCAAAGAGTTCGGGTGCTTGTAAACGTGGTTGTTCTCGCCTGGGTACCAAAAGTTCAACATTGTTTGGTCTTGGATTTTGGTTTGGTAGATCCAGTTGTGGTTCTTGTTGTTTTCTCACGGTTTCATCAAATCTTTCAACTTGAGTTGTGAGTCGGGAAAGTGTGGCTAAGATAGCCGTAAGTGTCTTGTTGTTATTGTCGCCCATCCTGAAATCATAACACTCAAAAGAAAATTTTAAAGTAAAATAAAAATAAAAGAAAGAAAATTCAACAAAGCAAGAAACCTCACAAGTTACTCCAAAAAAAGTAACACAACGAGAGGCAAGTAAGCCGATCTTGTACTCTTTAAAACTCACTTTACCAAGTAGTCTTCCACAGTTCGTATCGGAGTTTGATTACTAGCAAAGGCGATAAGAAAAACCTAACAGTTCTAAGAGGCCAAATAAGGGTTAGACTCCAAGAGAACGAGAATGCAAAGAAGGAAGAAGTATGCAAACTCTTTAGTCCTACTAACACAATGAAGATAATGTGTTAGATAATGCAAAAGAATAATAACAAGGAAAAACAAAAGAACCTAAAGTACTAAGAGTCAAAGAAAAAAAAGAACCAACCCAGAAACC